ATCTTAAAGTTCTTAGATGTTGGACTGAGTCCTTCCAACATCAAATCACTCCCTGACTCTCCGATTTCCCTCTTCCACTCATATGTATCCTTAGGTATACACTAGACCCTCACAGAAAATGTGGAATCATCTTCTTGTCTCAAGATCTCTCACTGAATCACATTAGCAAGTCACTTTCACCATGAAAGCTAACATATTCATCAGTTCCAGGAATTAGGATGCAGACAGACAATCCTGGCTGGCCATTATTCTTAACAGCAAACAACAGAAGGACTCAAGGATAGCTTAAAAACAAAACAAAACAAAACAAAAACAAAACAAAACAAAAAAAACATGAATTTCAAGCAAGACAGAGATAGGATATGAGAAAATACGTCCCCCATAAAAGAAAAAGTGTTGGCTGGCGCTGCGGCTCACTAGGCTAATCCTCCGCCTGCGGCGCCAGCACCCCAGGGTTCTAGTCCTGGTTGGGGCGCCGGATTCTGTCCCAGTTGCTCCTCTTCCAGTCCAGCTCTCAGCTGCGGCCCGGGAGTGCAGTGGAGAATGGCCCAGGCCCTTGGGCCCTACACCAGCATGGGAACCAGGAGGAAGCACCTGGCTCCTGGCTTTGGATGGGTGCAGCGCGCTGGCCATAGCTGCCATTTGGGGGGTGAACCAACGGAAAAAGGAAGACCTTTCTCTCTGTCTCTCTCTCACTGTCTAACTCTGCCTGTCAAAAAAAAAAAAAAAGTGTTGAAATTTAAAAAGAAAACTTCTGATCTCAACATTGGAATTTTCTCTCATACTAGAGGAGTAACTCTAACATGATTACAACTTCTTTTCTAAATGTCCAATTATGCTACTTGTTTCTATAGTGAATAAAATTTACATAAACAAAATATTTTAAATGCTCTTGATTCTTTTCCAATTTTCAGAAATAACAGTACTAAACATCAAAAGACAGGAATATCTACATGCCTCGTTCTGGATGCTAGCAGATTTTGAACATCATACACTGACAATACACTGACACAGACACCACACATTGCTTTCCACATGTGCTTGCTATGGTTTGGCTGTGATAGAAGCTTGGTCTCCAACGTGACAATGTGGGAGGTGATGGACACTTTCAAAGTCAGGGCCAAGTGGGAGGTGCTTGGGCTGTCAGGGGCTGGCCCTCAGAAGGAATTAACACAGTTCTTGTGAGGCCTTGGTTAGTCCCCAGTGTGGCTCTTTGGCTTCCTGTTCTGCCACGTGAGCGCTCTCTCTTGACACACTCACACCACTGTGAGGCCATCCACTGTGAGATCTTCAGCAGAGAACTACAAGCCAGGGGCCGGTGCTGTTGCATAGAGGGTAAAGCCACTGCCTGCAGTGTCGGCATCCCATATGGGCGCCAGGTGAGTCCTGGCTGCTCCACTTCCGATCCAGCTCTCTGCTGTGGCCTGGGAAGGCAGTGGAAGATGGCCCAAGTCCTTGGCCCCTATACCTGTGTGGGAAACCTGGAAAAAGCTCCTGGCTCCTCAGCGCAGCTCCAGCCATTGTGGCCATCTGGGAAGTGAACCAGCAGATGGAAGACCCCTCTCTCTCTATGCCTCTGCCTTTCTATGTAAACCTGCATTTCAAATTAATAAATAAATCTTTTTAAAGAATAAAATTTGAAGAAGAAAAAAAAAAAAGAACTGTGAGCCAAACAAACCTCCTCAGCACTCAGCCTCAGGCATTTCATTATAGTAAGAAAAAACTGATTAACAGAGTGCTATCTATTGGGAACTGAAGTCACATAGCAATGATAAAACATTAAAATTTTTTTGCCTGTATTTCATAAAGTAAGTATGAAGGAGAAACCAAAATAAATTCTGAAATGGGGGCCAGCACTGTGGTACAGCAGGTTAAGCCAATGCTTATAACATCAGCATCCCATATAGGAGGAGCATCTGTTTGAGTCCTGGCTGATCCACTTCCACTTCAAATCCAACTCCATGATAATGTACCTGAGAAAGCAACAGATGATGGTCCAAATACCTGGGCCCCTGCCACCCACATGTAAAACCTGAATGGAGTACTGGGCTCCTGGTTCAGATATTGCCAAGCCCTGGCTGTTGCAACCATTTGGGATGAAGATTTATATCTATGTAACTATACATTCCAAATAAATAAACTTTTTTTAAAAAAATTCTGAAATGTATGTACGTTTTTAATCACTAAATGAAAATTTACAAAGTTGTTTAATAAATAAAATGTTCCTTTATATTTTTATTTTAATTATCTAAAAAGATATTTAGATACCTAACATTAAGGAGAGTCTGAAAAATGTGTATTCTCATAGCTGATACAACAGATACAGCAAACTTTCAGGAGCACATTATACAATTTAAATTTCAAGAGTATATAACATATACTGAAGGCAGGCATTTGGTGCAGTAATAAGATGTCATGGTTGAGACACTGCTTGGGATTCTCACACTTCCTATCTGAATGCCTGGATTCAAGTCTCAGTTTCACCTCTAATTCCAACTTCCTGCTAAAATGCACCCTGGGAGACAGCAGGTGATAGCGCAACTACTTGGGTCCCTACAGTCTACTTGGGAGATCCAGACTGAGCTCCTGGGTCCCAGCCTCAGGCTGGCACAGCACTGGCTGTTGTGAGCATTTGTGGATGAACCAGCAAATGGGAGAACTCTCTTTCTGCCTTTCAAATAAATAAATGTTTTTAATTATAAAATATGTATATCAGGTAGATATTTGGCCTAGTGGTTAAGATGCCAATTGTCACACTCACATCCCATGTCAGAGTGCTTGGGTTTGAGTCCCAACACTGCTCCTGATTCTAGCTTTTTCCTGATGTGCACCCTGGGAGGAAGCAGGAAACGTCTCAAGTAATTGGGTACCTGCCACTCATGTGGCAGACATGCTCCTGGCTCTGGCCTGGCCCAGCCCCAGCTATTATGGACATCTGAGGAGTGAACCAGAAGATGGAAGAGTCCTATATATCTGTCTCTCTGCTTCTCAAATGCAGTAATCAATTAATTTTTTAAAAACAAAATGTACAGCCAGCACCGCGGCTCACTAGGCTAATCCTCCGCCTGCGGTGCCGGCACCCCAGGTTCTAGTCCTGGTTGAGGCGCCGGATTCTGTCCCGGTTGCTCCTCTTCCAGGCCAGCTCTCTGCTGTGGCCCGGGAGTGCAGTGGAGGATGGCCCAAATGCTTGGGCCCTGCACCCACATGGGAGACCAGGAGAAGCATCTGGCTCCTGCCTTCAGATCGACGCAGCGCCCGGGCTGTAGCAGCCACTTGAGGGGGTGAACCAATGGAAAAAGGAAGACCTTTCTCTCTGTCTCTCTCTTTCTCACTAACTCTGCCTGTCAAAAAATAAATAAATAAAATAAATAAATAAATAAATAAAATGTAGAGGGGCCAGCACTGTGGCACAGCGATAAAAGCCACGGCCTATAGTGCTGACATCCCATATGGGCACCGGTTCAAGTCCCAGCTGCTCCACTTCCAATCTAGCTCTCTGCTATGGTCTGGGAAAGCAGTGGAAGATGACCCATATTCTTGGGCCCCTGCACCTGCGTGGGAGACCCAAAAGTAACTCCTGGCTCCTGGCTTTGGATCATCCCAGCTCCGGCTGTTGTGGCCATCTAGGGAGTGAACCAGCAGATGGAACACCTCTCTCTCTCTCTCTCCCTCTCTCCCTCTCTGCCTCTCTGCCTCTCTGTAGCTCTTTCAAATAAATAAATAAATCCTAGAAAAATAAAATGTATTTGTCTTTGACCTAATAGTTTTACTGCCAAGAATTTGTCCTACAAAAATATCATTACTTATTGTAATAATACTATATAAGAATTCCAATGAGCTCCATGTAAATTAAGGGGGAAAAAAATGGGAACCAACCCCAAACATTTCAGGGAACTGATGAAATACATACAGTCAACCATTAATGCAGCAGCCATTAAAAATGATGTATAACACAGAAAGATGCACGTACACACATATACACATGCATTTTTAAACTTAACATGAAAAAACGGAGAACTGGGCCGGCGCCGCAGCTCACTAGGCTAATCCTCCGCCTTGCGGCGCTGGCACACCGGGTTCTAATCCCGGTTGGGGCGCCGGATTCTGTCCCGGTTGCCCCTCTTCCAGGCCAGCTCTCTGCTGTGGCCCAGGAGTGCAGTGGAGGATGGCCCAAGTGCTTGGGCCCTGCACCCCATGGGAGACCAGGAGAAGCACCTGGCTCCTGCCATCAGATCAGCGCGGTGTGCCGGCCACAGCGCACTGGCCGCAGCGCACCGGCCGCACCGGCCATTGGAGGGTGAACCAACAGCAAAGGAAGACCTTTCTCTCTGTCTCTCTCTCTCACTGTCCACTCTGCCTGTCAAAGAGGAGCCAAGAAAATAACGAGAACTAAAAGGATACACATAAAATTATTACAGCCTACAGTAAGCTATCTGAAGAAAAGGGGGGCAATATGAACCTTTGGTTTTATATTACTCAAATACTTTATTTGAATTTTGTTTCAATAGACATATGTTACTTGTAGAATACCTTTTATTGTCTTAAAAGAAAACTGAACTACCCATTTTACAACTGAACCCTTAGAACAACTCTTTAGTAGATTATAGACGGTGAAAACTGGTTTGAGACATAGCTTCCAAGCAAGAACACAGAAGCCTTTTAATGTGATATCTAGCAAATAATATATAGGCAACACTTAAATACACAATCATTACTATTAAATGAAACCATACTAACAGCAACATTTTAAGTTTCATAAAGACATACAACTGCCTTAAATGACACCATGTATGTATAATATATTATATATGGCATATTACATTAATTACATACATATTAAGTATAGTGTGTAAATGATATATACATTATATATTATATATAATGCATATGTATACAAAATGTATTCTGACAGACTAACTTAAAAATACTAATATACTATCATTGCCTTAAAAATATTTTAATAAATTTAATAAATAGTATGTCTATTAATAAACACTTACTGAATCATTTGCAGCTAATGCAAGTGCAAGGTTCACTGTAAGAAACAAAAATGTAATTAAAGTCAGTATCTTTCCTTCTATTAAAATTCATTTTGTCTTTTAATACTTTCAACATAATAATAAGCAAAGCATAGAAATTTTCAGTATATTTTTCTTACCAGTAAAGAACAAAGACATGGAGAGTATTCAGAAAGTAAACATACAAAAAATAATTTTCCCACATAACCAATCGACGCCTGCACCAAAATTATAATTTTAAATAGTCCACTTATCTGTTATAATTTTGTTCAAATGATCCACTTTGGTTTTTAAGACAAATATTAAGAGAATATTTAGTTGAGTTATTTTCAACAGCATATTAATACAAAAGGTAGCTATAATAAAAAGATATGATCCTATTGCCCTTGAAACATAAATGCTAAAACTGAACTTCAAAGTACTTAACTCATAAGTACCCATGTATACAAAAGGCCTGGCCACAGTACACAGAGGGAAGAGAAAAAGGTAAAAAAAGTAAAATCCTTTCCCAAAACTACCTATGCAAGTAAATCCCAGAGACATAAAAGAGGAAAGCAGAAATCCCAAAGTCATCTTTAGCCCAGCTTTAGAGATATATGATATCTGAGAAGAAAGGGCCACAAATAGCATATTTCCAAGACTGCTATCAGTAGACTAGAATACTGTGAAACACATTTCCTTAGAGAAGAATGTTTTAAATTATGTGAGGGGTATTTCCTCTAAAGTAGTTAAGAACATAAATCTTTAGGGCAGATTGTTCAAATCTCTATGAACTTCCATTGTGTAAACCTGAAAAGGTTATTTTACCAATAAGCCTGTTTCTTCCTTTATAGAATAAGGGTAATTCCTACTTCTTAACTGTGTGAGGTTTAAATGAAATACTAAATGTAAAGTACTTAACCTAGGTCATGGAATTTGTAATTCTTATAAATTATAAATTAATTCTGAGCTTCAGGTACATGATAGGTTAAACATAATCTCACTTCTAAGCAGAAGTTTTTAGAGAATAATTCATCTTAAACTTAGGTTCTTCCTGCATTTATACAACAGAATCACTGAGCATGTTTGTATTAATAAGATGTCATCATTCTAACATAAAATATCTCTAGCATACATATTCAAATGGTAGGAATTTTTAAATCATTTAGAACAAGTATAGGCCGGCGCCACGGCTCACTAGGCTGATCCTCCGCCTTGCGGCGCCGGCACACCGGGTTCTAGTCCCAGTCGGGGTGCCGGATTCTGTCCCAGTTGCCCCTCTTCCAGGCCAGCTCTCTGCTGTGGCCAGGGAGTGCAGTGGAGGATGGCCCAAGTGCTTGGGCCCTGCACCCCATGGGAGACCAGGAGAAGTACCTGGCTCCTGCCATTGGATCAGCGCAGTGCGCTGGCCACAGCACGCCAGCCGCGGCGGCCATTGGAGGGTGAACCAACAGCAAAAGGAAGACCTTTCTCTCTCTCTCTCTTACTGTCCACTCTGCCTGTCAAAAAAAAAAAAAAAAAAAGAAAGAAAGAAAGAAAGAACAAGTATAAATATATGTAATGGATATAATGGAAAGAAATATAATACCAGCAGACATACATAAAAATTACATTGCAAAATTCAAAGAATTTATGGCTCTGATCATGAAAACACTTTCCACTTTACCCAGTCCATTTGATCACAGTACATGCATCACGATTCACACAACTGAAAAAGGTAAATGTACTACAAATCTTCAAAAAAACAGGAAGAGGCAGATTCTAAAACCAAAATACTAAGATCTTCTAGATTTTGGAAACAAAATATCAAAGAGATGATTCATAGGCCCTTAGGAAAAAAACAAAAATGTGTAGGCTATAGCATTAATTCATTAAGTACAAATCACTAATCATTTTCTAACAATATATCTATCAAATAGTAGCAGATTGGGGTCTATTAAAAGTACAATATTTGGTAAACCCTAATTTCTTCAAATCGTCTACCAATTCAGACATGGAGCTAACAACATTAACTGGGTGAATCTGTAGCTCATTTAATAATTATAAAACCTTTATTAGCATTTAAGATGGCTGAATAGGGAAAAGATGTGTTAATTTTGATCAAAGGAAGTTAAAAGAAAAGCAGAAAATGAATTCCCAGGATAGAGTTGGACAGAAGTTTGCAGTGGAAATTCTATAGAAAGAGAGACACTGTGGAGCAGCACAGACGTGTAAACATGCAGCAGGGAGCAGGGACAGCCCCAGTGTCTCCTACAGCCAGGGGCTAGAAGAGATACCATCTTCTTGCAGAGAGGTGAGAGAAGTCTGTGGCAGCTCATGTCACTGGTGGTATTCCCTGAAGGAGAATATCAAATATCATCACAATGTGGACCACGCTGACTTTGAGTCTGGGCTGGAGAGCAAGTAGGGGGGCAGGGTACCCACCTAACCCTGTGAAGGGAGAACACATTTCTTTCTCCTCATCCCCCAACAAGAGCACCCAGTGACAAGCAAGGAGGAAGTGCCATCTTTTTTTTTTTTTTTAATTTATTTTTTATTTATTTGAGAGGCAGAGTAACATAGAGAGAAGACAGAGAAATTTTCCATGCACTTGTTAACTCCCCAATGGGCACAACAGCAGCAGCTGGGCCAGGCCAAAACCAGATCTTCCTCTAGGCCTCTTACATGGGTACAGGGGCCCAAGCACTTGGGCCACCTTCCACTGCTTTTCCCACGTCATTAGCGGGGAGCTGGATCAAGAGTGGAGCAGCCAGGACATGAATCAGTGCCCATACAATATGCTGGCATTACAGGCAGAGGCTTAACTTCCTACAACACTGACCACGACTTCCACAACACTGACCCCAGCAGCACCATCTTAAAAACATGAGTAGATGCTGGTATGGCTCATGCGTGTGTGAGACGAAAGAGATTTTATCAGAGGGATAAATCCACAGTCCCCACTGACTTTGAGTCTGGCCTGGAGGGTTGACAGGGGTAGGGTGCCCACTTAGGCCTGTGAAGAACTACCTTCTCCCTAGTCTATCACAGGCACCCAGACTCATACTGTATAGGCAGAGCATCAACAGACAGCTGGCTCTGGTAACACATCTGCTCTCTCCATGGACAGGGCTGTAGGTGCCTTGTGTAATATTACTGTGGGAATTCTGTGACTACACAATAGGGTGTGAGGGATAGCTGGAACTTGGGGCAATCACTGGTCTGCCTTCAGAGACTCAGAGCTCCCTGAGTACCTGAGGTGGATCATTGAAGAGGGTTCCATGTTCACATTGGGGACCATATAGATCGTCTGTGTGGCTCATGCACCTGTGTGGGTAGGGTGTGTAGCCACTGTGGGCTAACTGCAGGCATTGATCACCTTGGCAGGGAGGAGGTGAGGCTGTGATCACACCAGGCGATGTGATCACACTCTCCCCCCACCAACAACAGAGGAGATTTACCACGCCCAACTTGGCCCCGACACCTGCGCCATCCTTGAGCACTGACAGGATCTCCCTGGTCCCTCCTAGCACAAGCCTGTGGATATTCAATGAAGAAGCAGAGACTGCACTAAGCCACAGAGGCATATTTCAAAGATATAAGAGATCAGAGAAGAAAACCAATGAGTATTTCCACAAATGCCTAAAAATAAACAGCCCTGGCTGTTGCAATCATCTGAGGAGTGAACCAGCGGATAGAATCTCTCTCTAACTCTGACTTTCAAGTTAGTAAATAAATCATTTTTAAAAAAGGGTTAAAAAAGATCATTTGGGTGAGAATTAGCAATCATTTGCATTGAAATGATTGAAAATTCAGTATGAGACAAAAATAACATTTGAGTGCTTTATGACTCCAAATTAGTAATATGAGTTGCAAGGATATAATGAAAGTCAGAGTATAAACTTGCACATGCATAAGTTCTGCAGACCTAATGTATAGCAAGGTAACAATTGCTAATAACAACATACTGTACATTTGCAATTCACTGAGATTTTAAGTATTCTCATCATACACATATTAAAACGGTAATATGATGATATATTAGCTTGATTGTGAAATCATTTCACAATGTGCACATATATCAAAACATCTTGATATACGTGTAATTTTTGTCAAGTTACACAAAATAGCTTAAAAATAGTAATACGAATTATCTCTAGTTAGTAAGGTTAGTAAGAAAGAAGTTTTCCTTTTATATTATTATACTAGAATGATCTTTTTAGAAATAAAAGGTTCCTTTTGAAAATTTTTGGCAATGCTGGTTATTTAGTGTTGATTGTTAACTCTAAAGATCCTTTTGAAAATTTTTGGCAATGCTGGTTATTTAGTGTTGATTGTTAACTCTATTTCTGGTAGTACTTCCTGTATGAATTCTGAAAGCAGCATTTTTGTGACAACTAAAATCAATAAAAAGGGCCACCAAAAATATTTGCTATTAATAGTACATTAATATAAAACATATGAAGGCTAGATGACATTTTAAGTAAAATATTAATCCCTTTCAAGCATTTTCAAATATTACATCTATGCTGACTTTATAAATGGTGAAAATTAATTATAGTTCAGTGAAAAAGGTCACAATAACAAATAACCTCATTGCAAATACATAGCTATTTGTACACTCATAAAAACTAGAAAAGAACATCAAAGAACAGAAATAATTTAGTACTCAAGTTACTCAATGGTTTAAAAATAAAAGCAACCAATTATTTAACACAATGCAGGAGACACTAGGTTAAGTGGGTAGTTTAGTTAACTTACATATCATTCTACAAAAAAAGGTTACCAACACCCCGTTCTACAGGTAAGTGAACTAAGATCTGCTGAGCAACCTGACCATCTTTTGTCAAGTGGAGAGGTCATCAGGTTCCTTATCTGTTTTTATTGAGCTCCAAACATCTAAGCTTCTGTAACTAGCAACACCTAACACTAAGGAATCAGCTGTTAGGAACGTCACAAATATATAACTACTAAACTTAAAAAAATAAATAAATAAAGCCATAATGTTAATAGGCACACTTGCCAGTTGGCATAAATTCTTAATCAGGATCAGAATTAATATCCTATAATACCTGCTGTAGTAGATTTTCCAACTCCACCCTTCCCAGAAGCCACAACTATAACTTGTTTAACACCTTCGATCGGTTTCTGCTTTGGAAGTCCTCGGGCCATAATTTGCGCTCTTCTTTCTTTTAGGGTCTCGCTGTCAGCGCCAGATAACTTTAAAAAAAAAAAAAAGATTTAAAAAAAATTAAACGAGTTCTATTTTCATGCTGTAAAAGTAAAAATTCGGAGTTTGAAATTAAGAGGTCTTTGTTTTCGGATTCTGTTCAAATCCACTATTTCGGCTTTTTATTGCTATTTACCTACTGCTACTGATCACAACTGCAGACACACTGTTAAAACTGAAATTTATCTACCAGAATACGCTGTTTTCAAAAACGGAGTCTGACAGTTAAAGCCTCCACGTGTCTTCCTTCTGTTCAACCTACAACGTGCAATGCACATCCATGTTCTAGCCATCTGTTTCAGGCCCCCTCCGCCTCTGCCTGGCCACGCCAGGGTGCCAGCCTGGAAAGTGGGAACGTACAGACTGGGGTCTACAGAGCATCGAGTGGGCGCGGGCCCACGAGGATTAAGGCCAGGGCACCTGCGGCCTTGCAGGCAGACAATGCCGTCCAGCTCGCCTCCCCCTGCCCAGCACCACCACGGACCTGGCGCCGACAAACCAAAGCCCGGCTTCCTCGAAGCAGGGCAGCGGCCCCGCCACTACCCAGTAGCGACGCCCCACCAAAATGCACCAAACGCTGCCAAGTCCCCATGGCGCGAAACGCGGCCCTGAGAACTGCCAGGAAGCCGTCGCGGCGGACGCAGGGTAATGACGTCACGTGGCAACACGCGGCTTCCTCTCCATAGCAACCGGCTGTCTGGGTTTCCTCAGCCCAGGAATCCAACTTGCATTTATGTTTATAGCCAGCTACATACATTTTGCAGCGTTTTCCCAAATGTTTGCGAAGCGTTTTCGCATACATTTCAGCTGGTCCTTACAGAATTCCCGGCAGAGGACCTACTACTATCCTCTTTTGCTAGTAAGAAAAGTGAAACGGAAAATTTGAGATTTGAACAGAAGTTGGAAATGGTGGAACTTGAAAATGACTCTAGGTTTTCTTATTGCATCGTACTTTACATGGTCGCTCAAACATGGCCTCAGTTAAAGATTTCACCTTTCGATTTTTTCCTACGTGATTCACCAGTCTGCCTTGCTTATGTCTCTAATAATTCCCTGAATGAGAGGTCAAGGTGCTTTACTAGCAAAAGCTGAGATAAGTCAGAAAGCTGGTTTCGCTCAAAAAGACCTTGAGGTGGGGAGGAGATAGACTTCATGCTGGTAGGAGAGGAAATATCCCTACCTCCAAAGTAGATGAGAGAGTGAAAGAAATCACAAAAGCTGACACAGGAAGCCAGACCCAGCAAAAGGACCATCTGGGGTGTAAGACTGCTCATGCTCACATATTTGCCAGGCTGCTTTTCGGGACTGATTTTAATTTCTTATATTTGCTGTTTATTGATATTTGTTGTATCAAAGATACAAGATCATTCACCTTATTTTGCTCTAATCTGATCTTTAATTGCTTTTAACACAGGTGTAGCATCAATCTCAAAGAATGACTGTAAGGCATGAATGAGATATTACCAGCAAAGTACATTCCATTTGGTAAACTCTGAAAAAATTCTTATTTCCTTGCTTTTTCTTCCCTACTCTCATAACTTTAGTGTTCCATTCAGTTTTATCTTACACTAGGTTTGACGCTTTTAGCTTATTGTTTTACATCACGTATATTGTGAAATATTTGCTCAACTAATTTATAGTTTTGCAACTTTTTGGTTTATGAGTATTTTTTGGTGTGTAGGCCAAAAGCATAAGGGTAAGAGGAACAGCTGTCAGCATGATCTACTCCCTAAACAAGAAATGCTGAATATTTGTTTCTCTCCAGATACCTTTGAAAGTTCTTCCAAATTTTTTATTTTTCCCTTTTATTAAAAGGCAGAGGGCAGCAAGAGAGCTCTTCCATCTGCTGTTTCATTCGCCAGTGCCTGCAATAGCAGGCCCAGAAATCCCTTTGAGTCTCCTACAGGGGTGGCAGGAACCCAAGTACTTCAGCCATCATCGGCTGCTTCCTAGGTGCTCATTAACGGAAGCTGGGGCCAAAGAAGAAGGATGGGGGCTTGAATCAGGCACACTGACACGGGATGAGGGCATCCCAAAACGGCAACTTGAGCACTGTGCCAAACACCCACCCCAGACTTCTACCTTAGATCCATTCATTTAAGAAATATATTTTAAGTAACTACTACATGCCAAGCACTACTGTAGTCAGGATACTCAACACTGAACCAGAAATCAACCTTCCTCTCAAGGATTTTACCACCCAGACAAAAGATATAATAAATTAACTAATAATGACATTATGGTGTGAAAAAATATAGGAGAAAGGTGCCAGGTGACACCGGAGTACAAAAAAAAGGTGTTCAATTTAGTCAGGTTTCCGATAGGGTAACATCTAAGCTGAATCCTGAGTGTGGTAACATGTAGGAATTAACAGGAATTAACAAGCAGCTAGGAAGTTGTTGTACAGAGCTAAGAAATGGACTATAGGGCTGGCATTGTGGTGTATTGGGTGAGGCTGCTGCCTGTGACCCAGAATCCCATATGGCCACTGGTTTAAACTCTGCTGTTCCATTTGTGATCCGGCTCACTGCTAATGGCCTGGGAAAGCAGTGGAAGGTGGCCCAAGTGCTTGGGTTCCTGCACCTAAGCTCCTGGCTCCTGGCTTCAGATCAGTCCAGCTCTGGCCATTGAGGCCATCTGGGGAGTGAACCAGCAGATGGAAGATCTCTCTCTCTGTCTCTCCCTCTCTCTGTCTGTAACACTGCCTCTCAAGTAGATAAATAAATCATAAGAAAAAGGAAATATCACTATGATTACTAGATTTAAAAAAAATGTTTGAAAGGGCAACAGTGGAGGAATGTCAGAGGCAAGAAGACATAGATTATTTTAGTAATCCAAAAGGCATGTTGAATCCTTGAACTAACATCTCTAGATTTCACTTATCAGTAAAACACATAATACCTAGCTATGGGGCTGTAATGAGTTGAATTTAAAAATGTAGAATGTCTATCACATAGCGTACACAGCCAATACATGAAAACTATTGTGATGCTTGTTTCTTGTGTAAAGCTCTATGACTTAGGCAACTAGATAAATGGATGGCATTCCTTGAGAGAGAACATAGGAAAGGAACACGTGAGACTATAATGTTTGGAGAAAGAGTCATTGATTTGGTTTATAGTACAGTAGATTAAAATTTCAGGAGAGTAGCAGAGTTGCCCGTTGTTTCTTCTCCAATACTCACTGCCTCCCACATATATCCTCATGGTTTCTTCTCAAAACAGTATTCTTTCTTAGCTCCTAAGACTTGCTTGACCCCATTTGACCCCATGGCCATGGCCACTAATCCAATAAAAGATTGACACACAGCTGAAAATTGGTCTAATCAGATTCTCCAGAGAACATAAGAAATAAATGTTGCTCACTCTTAGTTTGCTTTTGAACTGGGAGAGCTGCAATGATTGTTTTCAACCATGTTCCAGAGAAGCAGAAAGGCCAATAGAGAACAAGGAAGCAGATCGAAAGAGTCTCTGTGTCCATGGAAGGATGGGAGAACAGCCGCATGGTTCAGAGCAACTTTCCAGCTCATGACTGTAGTCTGTAGTGAGGTTCAGCTGCACTTTTCATGCTTAGATCTAAGATATAATTACATATACCCAATAAATTCTTTTTCTGCCTTAGCCTTAATGTGGTTGAGATTCTGCTTACTTGTGAGAGATATTTTTTTAATAATCACCAAGAATCTTCGCCCTAGAAGTGCTTATATCTCAGTAGTCTTTCCCAGAGCTGGTGCTGTGGTACCGTGGGTAAAGCAGCCGCCTGCAATGCCAGCATCCCATATGGGTACCAGTTCCATTATGTGGCATTCCAGACACAGAGAAATGCCTGACACTGCAAAATGTCAGAGAAAAAAAAAAAAACTGCTTGCTTGACTTTGAATTTTTGGAACTTTCAGGAGAATGAGGACAGCTCTGACAAAGACAGTAGATTTGGAAGACCTCATGATGATATAAGAGCATGGTGTGGGGAGCAACTCGGACTAGACTAAGTTACTGGAATTAAGACTTATTCTATGCATCTGCTCTCCCACAATATGGCACTGAGAAGGGAGAAACAGCTTCTACACAGCTGCCTCCAGTTCAACCAATAAACTGTAGGACCTACTCCTGATTGGAGGAGAGCAGCGTGTGGGTAGCAGAGTTGGGATTGGTGGAAGAGGACTATAAAGGAGGAGACAGACAGCATGCACCAGGAACATCTATCTGAAGGAACACCTGTGCAGCCCCCGAGAAGAGCCGGCCGGCGGTGTGCCGCTCCCCCGCGGAAGTGGGGAAAGTGGCTAGGGGGAACCGCCCTTCCACGGAGGTGGAAGAGTCGGTAGCCAACCCGGGAAGAACCAGCAGCAAACCCGGGGAGGGCCGAGCAGACGAAAGAACAACGCAGGGTCCTGTGTCGTTCCTCCACGAAGAGGGGGAGCGACACATGGTTTCGGGGTCGGTGCTGTGACACAGCTGGTTAAGTGGCCACCTGCAGTGCCAGCATCCCTGGCATCCCATATGTGGGCCGGTTTGTGTCCCGGCTGCTCCACTTGTGATCCAACTCCCTGCTAATGCACCTGGGAAAGCAGCAGAGGATGGTCCAATTCCTTGGTCCCCTGCATTCAAGTGAGAGATCTTGATGAAGCTCCTGGCTCCTGGTCTCAGCCTGATCCAACCCCAGCTGCTGCGGCCATCTGGGGAGTAAACCAGTGGATGGAAGATTCCTCTCACTCTCTTTCTCCCCACCCCACCCCCACTTGCCTCTGCCTCTCCGTCTCTGTAACTGTGACTTTCAAATAAAGAAATAAATCCTGGGGGGGGCGACGGCACTGTGGTATAGTGGGTAAAGCTGCCGCCTGCAGTGCTGACATCCCATATGGGTACCGGTTCAAGTCCCGGCTGCTCCACTTCCAATCCAGCTCTCTGCTATGGCCTGGGAAGCAGTAGAAGATGGCCCAAGTCCTTGGGCCCCTGCACCCATGTGAGAGACCTGTAGGAAGCTCCCGGCTCCTGGCTTTGGATCAGCACAGCTCTGGCCACTGTGGCCATCTGGGGAGTGAACCAGAGGATGGAAGACCTCTCTATGTCTCTGTCTGCCTCTGCCTCTCTGTAACTCTGCCTTTCAAATAAAAAAATAAATCTTTAAAAAAAAATGGTTTCTTTCCTATCTTTTTTAGTGTTATGCTTGACTGCAAGTAGCAGAAAAGTCTATGATTGTCTTAAAGGAGAAGGGCCATGTTAGTCCCTTATCAAAGATTCACAGGCAGACTTACAGAGCTAATACAGTAGATCCCGAGGGTCATCACGTACCACATTAATTCTTTTTGTTTCAACATCTTGTTATCCTCATGTTTATCCCCTCACAGCTGCAAGATGGCCACTGTACCTTCAGGCCTTAAGGCTGTGTTCCTTATAGGAAGAGAAGGGAAAAACACAAGTTATGAGTTTTCCCTTCTGAGCATCTGCATTTTTTAATTTGCGAAAGGAAGCTTCCCCCACCCCATTTCTCCACACACTTACCCCAAATGGGCTAGAACCAGGTCATATGACTATTCTCACAAGCAAGCAACGCTGAGAAATCAAGCATTTAGGTGTCTCTAACTCTGTTGCAGAGTAGAGGAAAGCAATGGAGAGGCAACTAGAAATGGGGATTGAGTGAGTCGTCTCAGGGGCT